TTCTTAAAAAATATATATACATACATATATTTGGTGTCCTCTGGGCATGAAAACTTGTTCAAACTTTTTGATAATCAGGGAAATACAAACCAATATTTCTATGAGATGCCCACTAGATTGGTAAAAACTAAAGTAAAATCTGTCACCACATGTTAGAGGGTTTGGAGTGATGAGAACACTGTTGGTTATGGGTACAAATAGTTGTAACTGTGTTGGTTACTACTTGCCATTTTTGGGTAAAGTTGAAGATATTTCCATTCCTGTATCCCAGCAGTATGAAGTAGAAAACATTTTTTTGGACATAATGCACTGATGTGTTTGTAATAGCAAAACTCATCAAAATGGAGATTAGATAAATAAAGCTAGTAGATATTCATTTATGTAGGGGAATCTCATACATAAATTATTAGCTCTATAACAATATGTATGAATCTCTGTCACATAAAAAATTTAATACAGTGGCATTTCATGTATGTATGTGTGATCAGAAATGTAAACAAATAGTGAAACAATGAAGTATAAAGAAAAAAGGGAGCAAAAAATCGTTACATAACAGAGGAGAGAATGAGTGTGGGATGAGATGGGACTGGATAGGGGCATGCAGGGGGTTTTCATAGGATGTGGGTTTTTTTCTTTTAAAGTATGTGATTTTGTTGTGTTGTCATTTCTTAATGCCTTTTATGTATATTTGATAATACATTTTTATCTACTCCGTATTTAACTGAAATAAAAACCGCTGGCTACATCAGCTTCTTTATGTTGCCTGATTTTTCCCCCCAAGAGTAGGTGGCTTTTGGAAAAAATAGTTAACTTCTGTAACTTGAGACTCACTGCTGCCTCTTAGAATATATACTTCCCCTTTAATTATTTGGGAAGATTCTAGTGTGGCCCTTAAGAGACCTGGGTAGCTCTCATTTTCTAGCTAACTGAAAGATCTACAAGCTCTTTCACCTGGAATATGATAAGATTGTAGAAGTAGAGCCTTTTTTGGTTATGTTGGACTAGTTATAATGGTGAGTAGTTTTGTTTTTTTTCCTCTCTTTTTTTGGTGTTCCTATTTTTCTGTCTTACTAATGTATTTTGTTCTCCACTTTTTCTTTTAGACAGAAAATATGTTGTGGGATCATTTATAAAGGCCGTTTTGGGGAAGTCCTCATCGATACACATCTGTTCAAGCCTTGCTGCAGCAACAAGAAAGCCGCTGCTGAGAAGCCGGAAGAGCAGGGCCCAGAGCCTCTGCCCATCTCCACTCAGGAGTGGTGACTGAGGTTCTTGTGTAGAAGGGGAGCAAAAACGATTTAAATTTTGAAAAGACCACAAAGCAACAAACTGACCCTCCTATTTTTAACTTGGATACCTGCTATTCTGCCAAAAGACAACTTTTAGAATAGTTTTGAGTGGGTTATTTTTTCCCCCAGTTCCATAAACTCTGAAGCCAGTATCTAGGTGACTAAAAAAGAATTGTACATAATATTTAAGATGCTGAGTATTTCATAGGAAAGCTGAATGCTGCTGTAAAGTGCTCTTTAAGTCTTCTTTTTTTTTTTTAATCCCCTTCTAATGAATGAAACTAAGGGGAATTTCAGGGGACAGAGATGGGATTTGTTGTATGATAAACAGTATGTAGTTTTAGTCTTTCTATTTTGAGAAGCAGTGGTTGGGGCATTTTTAAAGATGGCTGGCTACACTTGTTTTCCCTCATGATAATAATTTTGTCATAATACAGTAACATAGACTTGCCCCTAGAGGTAATTGTTAATAATTTTGAATATTAAGGTCTTGCCAAGGTTGTGACTATTCAAACCTGTACTACTGATTATTAAGCAGGACAGACTGAGCTTTCTGTTACAGATACCTTGAAGGAAAATGTACAGAGAGGTAACTGTATATTTTGTATCCTGTGCCACCTCCTTTCATATTAATATTTGATAAAGATTTTAATTTATGGGGCGGCACCTGTGGCTCAAAGGAGTAGGGCACCGACCCCATATATCGAAGGTGGTGGGTTCAGACAGGGCCCCGGCCAAAAAAAAAATTGCGGAAAAAAAAAAGATTTTAATTTATGTGGAATTTCTAAAGTAGAATAAAAGTTCCTCTTAAGGATATGACAAGTCTTTAAGAGAGGTGAGACCCCACATGAATAGTACCAAAGTGTTACCACATGGTAGACAGCATGAAAAAAAATGTTTTAACTATCTGAAAAATAAAATGTTCAAGTCTTCAGATGGCATAAAACAAAGGTTAATGCTTTGGGGGGCATGTTTCTTAGAGGGCTTGCTGAGTATGTAAATAATTGACTTTTGTTTGTGTTACATGACTGTTTGATGACTTCACTGAAAATCTGCACAATTCAGTTTTAGCTCTGGATTACTTCAGTTGACCTTTGTGAAGGTTTTATCTGTGTAGAGTGGATGTTTAACTTCTTTTAACCTGTTAGGGTTTTTATTTTTTATTTTTTCACTCTATATTTAAAGTAAAAATTTACTAAAAGGAAAGAGGTGTGTGTTAGTGGTAAGTGGGTTGGTTGTGGTTTGGCTTCGTTTAGTCAGGCTTTCTGAACATTGAGATACCCTGCTTGGAATTCTTCAATTCTAAAATCCTCATTCAAAGCCTCTCACTTGAACCCAAACCAAAGTGTTCTTATTGCCTCTTTTCTGAGAGTTCAGGAGAAAAAGATTACCAGTTCAGACTTTTCATGAGGGAGGAGTATTTGCTTGCCTTATAATGACATGACTTAGTTTTTATTTTTTGAACTGGATTTTAAAAATTGGGTAGTATAACAGTAAGGAGTGAGCCACTTTTTATGGACACCCTATAAGTTTTGTAGTTCTTAATCTAAACATTTTATATTTCCTCCTCTTGGGGAAAAAAAAAACCTACATGTCATAAGCCACCATATGCACAGACTACACAGTTAGTTGGGCCGGCTCTCACGGCCTTTGAGGTGAATTACAGGAGTCCAGCCATTATCATCCTCCTGAGTTATTTTGAAATGGTTTTTTTTTTTTTTTTTTTTTTTTGTACATTTTGGCTACAGTATTGGTGGTAGAATATACTATGATATGGATCATCTCTACTTCTGTATTTATTTATTTATTACTAGACCTCAACCACAGTCTTCTTTTTTCCCTTCCACCTCTCTTTGCCTGTAGGATGTACTGTATGTAGTCATGCACTTTGTATTAATATATTAGAAATCTACAGATCTGTTTTGTACTTTTTATACTGTTGGATACTTATAATCAAAACTTTTACTAGGGTATTGAATAAATTTAGTCTTATTAGAAAATAAAAGGAGCTGTTTTGTGGCTTTGTTTGAAAAGTCTTGGGTAAGGATAATGGCTTTGGCCTTCACAAATACTCAGTTTAAGCCATTAGTATTATAGCAGGCCAGGAAGGTAGAAAAATCCTTTTTACTGAGAAATAACGATTTTAAAATCAAAGACATTTTAACTGATGTGTGAAATAAGCAAGTGGATAAAATGGTTTTGACAGCAGAGAACAAAATTTTCCCAGTACTTTGTGATGTCTGATGTGGTTTTATTGTCTATGGGCATAGCGGGAAGCAAGCATCGAGTCTTGAGAGAAACTATAAACGTTGGATGGGTGGGTTTTGGCATCAGACCTGGGTTGTCAAATTCCTAGCTCTGACCCTTATTAGCAGTATTCCTGTTGGGATTTAAATTTGCTTTGGTGGCTGGGCCTATAATCTCAGCACTCTGGGAAGCCGAGGCAGGAGGATTTCTTGAGTTCCAGTTTGAGACCAGCCTGAGCAAAAGGGAAACCCCATGTCTACTAAAAATAGAAAACCTAGCTGGGTGTGGTGGCATGCACCTGTAGTCCCAGCTACTTGGGACACTGAAGCATGGGAAATCACTTGAGCCCAGGAGTTGGAAGTTGCTGTGAGCTAGGCTGAGGCCATGGCACTCTAGCTTGGGGCAGCAGTGAGATTCTGTCTTTAAAAATAGATAAAAAAGATAAAAATAGTATAAGAACATTCTGGGAAATCAAGTATCCAATGTATGGAATACTAATGTGAAACCAACAGATAAACAACTCTTCACCCACATGAGAGAGAACCAAAATAAATCAAATGGTGGGAGGAGGGGAGAGAGGGGATTAGTAAGCTCTCACCTAATGGGCACAATGTAAGGGTACACAACACACCCTTCACACATGGTGAAGGGTTCAACTACAACGTGAAATTTACCTGATAAACACAAACAATGTAACCTAATCATTTGTTCCCTCATATTGGAATTAAAAAAAATAAGTTTGCTTTGGGATAGTCCAGATAATTCTGCTGTTACATGATAGTTACTATGAAGTTATCCCTTCATAGGGTAGGATCCTTCCCTATCACTTCGTATGGTGGAAATGTGACAGTATTAGTCTTTCCCCACCTCCAGGAGCTGGGAAGTCTAAACACCCAGTAAGTCTCTACCTCTGGTTGGTTTAAACACTCCTGAAGTAAAGAATATAAGACTTGTTAGTCTTCCTCTACCTCTAATGGGTCTTTTTTTTTTTTTT